CCCCAAAACCCCAAAACCCCAAAACCCCAAAAAACGAGAAAATTTTTGAATAAAAGGTATTTAGCGTACATAATAATGGAAAATATTCTAGATGAAATTACTTCTTGAGCATTGACTGAATCTTCTTAGCACAGTTGATCAAGTATCCCTCAACCTCAGTGACTTCTTTGGTGTGAGAGAACGCCTCTTTGATCTCTTTGATTGTGAAAATTCCTAAAATTATAGAGGAAACATACTTTTCTCATCTGCTTTAGCATAGCTTTCTTCGTTTTCTATGTAATTTAGGTGTGACCAGCTTACCTTCTGCATAGAGAGGGTCACTTTCATACTCTTTGGATGGTAAAATTCTTCTGAAATATTGTCACAAGATATGGAACAGAACACTTCATATGATCTTAAAATTTCTCCTAGCAGATGTAGAAATCTTTACGCCTAAGGACTTTGGTTGGGTGAGTACTTGAATAAAGATTTTTCCAAATAAGAAGTAAAGTCGCATGAAATCCTTCACTTCTTGGGTAACTTTATACATTACTCCATTTTCATCAGTGTCAATTCTTTCAACCTCAAATTGTTCAACATGCTCAGGAAGGAGTAATGAGCCATTGCGAAAATTATCTTGGAAGAATAACAATAAGCTTGGAGGAATACTTTTTGAGCATCAATTCTCGATAACTTGCTTGATAGAAAACCTATGAAACTAGTCAAATGTATGCCTTAAAATACCCTACTTGATAATCGAGAATCACTTGCTGATCCTTTTATTTACCGTCTTTGAATCAAGATTTTTGACCAAAAAGTTCAGAGATAAGGAGCCATTGTTTACAACATAACGTATCATGTTATTTTAAAACACCTAAAAGTCATACTTATGGGTACTTTGGATCATCCAATTCTTCGTTACTTCAGAATTTACTGAATAAACTGGCTTTTTCTGTACCTTTTGCTCTTTGATCAGATTTTCACGGATTAATTTAGCTATCTTTAGAATATTTTCTTACTTTGTTTGTATAGCCATATAAAACCGAATATGGTTTTTGCCACTGCTTTGAACTTCCTGAAGGGCTTAATCTCAGGTCCCTTGAGATTGTCTTTAGTCTTCTGAAGAAAACTGGATTTATTCACTAGCTGAATTATCGATTCTCTATGCATTATTGATGAGCTTGTACCTTGCTCTTTCTCTTTTAGACTTCTTAATATCTTCAAAGAGTTCTTTATCCAGGTATTCATTCTTATCGAAAGGTTTGAGGTTGAGACCATGGATTAGTTTTAGGTTATCTCTACTTTCTTTTTGTTGGTTTATTTGTTCATCTCGAGGCTAAATATATTTAGATGCTGGCTTACATCAACTACTCCAGCTTTCTTCTTGTTTTCAATCATTTCTTTAACTATAGAGTTTTATTTGAGGACTTACATTTTAATTCTTGTTCTTTTAATTTTTCAGTGAAAAGTCGAGGTTCTTGTTTAGGAAGAGACTCAAGAATTTTAGCATCTTCTTCTCTTTGGTGATCAGTGGTGATCATTCTTGATAATTGGGCAGGGCTATCAATACCGCTCTAGAGATATTGTTTGATTGTCTTACTCTATCATAATCCCTTTTTGTCGGATGCTGGTCAAAGAATTCATTGACACGGTCTGAGAAATTTAGCTTTTTGATCATATTATTCTTATAATCCCGATATCTCATTTCCTCCATCACTATATCCAATAAACAACAAGTTTTACACTTCTGGTTCTTAGCATTCACCTGATGCTTATATTTCTTCTTCAGCTCAAAATTCTTACGAGAAGCTAGTTCAAGCCTAGCAGCAAGCACGATGTTGTTCCGTTGCATGCCAGTTATTTGGAGGGAGGCTGAAGGGATTTTAGAGGGGATTTCTGGTCGGAGGTAAGTTAGGCTGGATAGATTTTGAGCGGAGGAGGAAGGGGTTATTTGGGGAGAATAGTCCGAAGGGGGAACTGAAGGTTAGGTTTGAGGGGATACTTATTTGATAATTTTTTAGGCTCTCTTTAGTACCTCTATTCTGATCATAGCTTCCTTGATAACTAATATCCCTACTATTTCTAAACTGACTGAGGGGCTTTCTTGGTAAATTATTCCTATTCAAGTTTCTCTCTTTCTGGACTAATTTTTAAATATATTAAGAACAATTTACTTGATAAACTTCTATTTGTGTATATCCTTTGATAAGGATCATCCATATTTATCTCGCGCTCAGATCTATCAGATAGGTTCTGACTCTAAAGATAAGCAAATTGCTTGCTCTCAAGTGGGCTGGGTGGAGAGACTTGTAATTCCCCTTTAATTCAACACTGTTATTATGCAACCTTCTGCTGTCCTATTTGGTTATAATTTTATTAGATACCATCATCCCGAGAAATCGACTTCTTTCTTGAAAACTTTGTTCTCCTATAGCAATAATTTGAAACTGATTAAAATAAGCATGGTTTATCAATAGATATAGTACATCCTAGTAGAAAATCATGGAAATTTGTGATGAATTTCTTTGAACTCTTTCTGCAAAAAAGACTTTGATAAATAGTCTAAGCGGGAACCGTACCTGAGTCATATCGAATGTTCATAGCCATAGTAAATTATTATATAAGTTAAGATAAATTAAACTTAGTTAAATGGGGTTTTGGGGTTTTGGGGTTTTGGGG